ACATATATATATATATATATATATATATATATATATATATATATATATATATATATATATATAATATTAAGTATAGTATAAGATCTAAACATTATTATAGATTTTATCGTTTTTGTCATGGAAAGTGTTTCACTACATAGATGGGATGCATTTAAATGTGGCAGCATTATTATATTGTACTTGTTGCATGCAAACCTGTAACGCTTGATTTGGAATTAGTCTCCAACCAAATCGAATCCAGGGAATGATAGCCACTTTACATAAACACATTAAAATAATGTTTAAATATGCCGATTAATGTATTATAATAAATCTAAAGGTTTCTTAAGAAAAACCTAAATTTTCTTAGAAAACCCCCTTCTTATCCAATGGTCTTTTTTAATTATTTTTTGTAAATTGGTTATCATTATTAATATTTGAGAAATTAAATTGCCTCCTACTTTTTATGCTTACAAATATTCCTATCCACTAATATTACGACACATGTCACTATTCCATATTTACTTAACTATTTAATTAAATGTATATTAGGAATATATCAATTTAAATTAAACTGAATTGTGGAATGATGACACGTGTCATAATGTTAGTGGGTAAAAATATTTGTAGGCATAAAAGATAGGAGACAATTTAATTTCGGGATAATGACTTAAAAGGGTAACATATTTTTAGGTTTGTACACATTTAGTCATTGACTTTTTTTTTTGTTCAAATTTTCCCATTGAACTTGTTAAACTGTTCAAAAAACATCCTTATGACCTACTATCGGAGGTTTAACCGGTTTCCGACGTTCTTGTGAGCTCCGATGAGACTCCGGTCATCTTTTCCGGCAAGTCTCCGACCAAAAACACCAAAAAACACATACATGAATAAAAAACACCTAGATTCATGTGTTTTCCTCAAGAAATTCTTCAACCCCTTCAACCCAAATTGAATATCTTCAAAAACAACTGGATCTGAAAAATGAATTCATCAAAATGTTTTCAGATTTGCATGTGAGTGTGTGTGTGTGTTTGTTAGATCTGAACAAAAATTCTCCAACCCTTCAATCGGTGTGTATGTGTGGATTTGTTAGATCAGAAAACACATACACAATCATGTTCATCCCTTCAAACCCTTCGACCCAAAAATCATAAACCCATAAATCTTTTAACCACTTCAACCCAAATCTAACCATCTTCAAGAACAAATAGATAAGAAAAAAACGAGTTCATCGATGTATGTGTTCATCTTCTTTCCAGAAATCAAAAGATCTTCAACCGAAGTTATGTTTTTGAGTTATAGTTTGAAATCAAGTTTCCATTTTTGTTCAAGAACACACTGAACTCGAATCTAGAAGTGTTCATGTGAAAAGTTTGAAGCTCGAAAATCATGTTTCCATTTTATTCAAGAACACACTGAACTCGAATCTGAAATCAAGTTCATATAAGAAATCGAGAATCATGAGTGTTTGTATGTTCTTGAACAGATGAAGATGACTTTTGGGTTTGTGTTCGTGTTCTTCATCATATTTGTGTTCTTGTTGTTCATCAGATCTAAAAACCGGAATAAATCTTTTTTGTTTGTGTTCTTGAAGGTCTGATGAGCTTTAAGATGAACTCGAGTTAGGGTTTTCAAACCCAAAAATCATCGGAGTGTTGTTCCAGATCTTTTGTTCATCATGTTCATCTTCTTTGTTCTTGGAAGTCAACAAAGTACAAACAATGCAGCACAATGTACAAGTTCGTCGATGCATTATCTTTTGAACCAGCTCAAACTCAAGAACATATATCATTATTTCTCTCTCTAAAAATGATATTTAAGTGTAAGGTGTTTGATCTTCAAGCTAAATCACGATATGAAGACACCGAAGTTCATGTTCTTGAGTTCGTGTTCTTCATTAACTTCGATTTTCCATTTCTGTTCAAGAATACAACTTTGATTTCTGGGTTTTTCTTCAAGTT